CGTGCAAAAGAGCTGCAATTCGGCGGGAACATAATTTAGCGGTGCCGAAGCACACACAATCAAAAATCCACAACTTTGGGTTGTGACATCCCCCTTGCTGAGAGCATAGCTAAATTATGCTATATACTCTATTTAGGAACCTTGTTGCGAGTCGTCCAACGAGCAAACAAACAAACAAACACACACACACACACACAAAATTCGCTGTCCTGGAATTGAGTTACATAACAATTAAAACAATAATCAATATAAACACATAATTAGATCCTCGGATTATGATATCCCCCCTTGTTGAAGGCAGAATCTGTCAATACAAGGAGTTCATCCTCCAAAGACCGAATCAAATAATTACCTATATAAACACACACAACTAAATTCAAAACAAAGAACTGCACGATCGGGGCTTCAGTAGGCGTCACGGCAAAGTCACACATCAAGTCCTTGCTTCTACCAATGATGTTATCCCTCTCAGGGCTTCTCTTTGCCACGCACTCTGGATCCCGGATCTGTAAACAGAAACTTATAAAACAGATTAATGATCCTACTGGCAAAGAAAATTATTCTCAATCACGTCTAAATTCCATGGCCATGAGATCTAGCCACGAAATTATAGCTTCATCAGATTCCGTCTCAGATTATTTGTATAGTTGCTGTAATTCTGTCCAAGCACGAATGCGACTGGTGACGACATCTCGCTCATCAGCTGCCTGGTCGACCGTGGCTGTAGGGCAAGCTTGTTGCAGGAGAAATTATTCTTTCAGGAGCTGATGTTGTCATAGGTTGGACTGCTGCCGCTGGAGTCATCATTGCTGTTATCACTTCAGGCAGGAGGGGCGGATGCACTCCTCCGCTTGACTTTCTCCTTCGTTGGCAGGAAGGCGTGGTCGATGAGGACGACGCTCAGTCGATGGGCGGAGTTGCTGACCGGACTCTCGCGGGTTCTTCCGAAGCTCCTCCCTGCTCTTCCGGTTCTTCCACGCAGTCTCCCTCTTGCTCGGTGCCATCTTGGACTGGCGTTTCAGGTCCCTTTTTCTCAGCCGCTTCTTTGACCGTCCGAACAGCCATCTGCAGCTGGGCTTTTAAACTCAGATTTTGGTGCATTAAATTCATTACAGTACGAAAGGTTGCACTACCTTCTCCCCACTTGTCGTACCATAAGGCCATTCTCTTATCTGCGGCTCGTTCCTCCGCTCCCAGGGTTTCGCGGAGCTCAGATGGAAGCTCGCGTCCCCTTAATCTAGCC